GAAACTACTGTAACATATTGGGGTTTTCGCTTGCTCAGCATCTTTAGCCCTCTGTCCTATAATCCCTTTCATCCATAGCCTCCATAAATCCTAAACCCTGTTCCCAAAGTTTTTGCAGGACCCAGCGCAGGTGACTGCTCTGGCTGCTCACCTGGAGACTAAGCGTGTCGGTCTCGGAGAATTGATCCTGCTGTCCTGGATTGCTTTTTGCCACCATTCCCCTGGGATCTATTGCTTCTTGTGTTTTGTTGTAGAATGATAATACAACCCAAAAGCAATTAACCCCAAGGCACCAAGGAACTAGTAAAAACAATCATTTTGATGTAGGTCTCAGGGGACTAGTTCAGGGTTTACCGAGTAACCTTACAAAAGGGTAAAGAAAACAAACTCCAAGGCAACGTGCACTGACCGAAAACGATCACTCGTTCGCTTCGCATCCAGAGATATACGAATTGGGAGCTTTTGGGGTACACAAGCTTGAGCCTTGATTTTTGAGATACACTTGTCTTTGGAAAGCACACAGTCAGAGGCTTAGCCCAAGGCTCGCTGAGATGTCCACAGAAGGACAAGATATGCCATTTTGTCATGTTTGCACACGCTTGCGCAGCCTTTGGCCGCTTTCTTTGTGAGCTTTATAGGGCTTTTTAGGCAAAAGGGCGCATGCTTGGTGAGCAGTTCTCGAGTCGAGGCATGAGCACTTAAGAGCACACGCGTCAGCCCAGCCATGCAGATTGAGGTGATCTTCCTTAACGGTCAGGCTGCTTCAGTTTCGGTAGATGAGGGTGCATCCGTGGGAGACTTGAAACGTCGTGCTCAGGATGAGCTTCGTCGTGGCATTGCTCACTTCATCCACACTGATGGCACGCTGCTGGATGATTCGGCCACTTTGGCAGATGTTGGTCTGAGTGACGGTGACACGGTCACGGCCACTTTTGGGCGCGCCAACATCGTCTCTAGCAGGCGCTCCATTGCATTTGCCGTGATAAGAGGCGATGGTGCCGTTGTCACATGGGGAGACCCTGCCTGTGGCGGCGACAGCCGCAGGGTTCAGCAGAAGCTGCAAGAAGTCCGTGAAGTTTGCGCCTCTGAAACTGCCTTCGGAGCAGTTCGGGCGGATGGACACGTCGTGACATGGGGCAACCCTGAGTCTGGTGGCAACAGCGCAGCGGTTCAACATTTGCTTTATGATGTTCAGAGAGTATGGGCGACTGCCACTGCATTTGCGGCACTTCGTGCTGATGGCATGGTTGTGACTTGGGGACAGGGCTGTGCAGGCGGGGACAGCAGATCAGTGGAGCCGCACTTGCGCAATGTGCGAACCATTTGTGCTTCTGAAAGTGCATTCGCTGCAGTCCGTGCAGATGGATCTGTGGTCACTTGGGGTAATCCACTGTCTGGCGGTCAAAGCAAGTCCGTCCAACAGCAGTTGCAGAAGGTGCAGGACATCGCAGCCACTGACTATGCGTTCGCTGCAATCCTCGAGAGTGGGCAAGTTGTCACATGGGGCAATGCTGCGTCGGGCGGTGACAGTAAGCATGTGCAACGGCAGCTACAGCAAGTGCAGTCTATTTCATCAACAGCGGATGCCTTTGCTGCTATCCGTTCAGATGGCACGGTCGTCACCTGGGGCTTGCCTTTCTGCGGAGGGGACAGCAGCTCCGTGCAAAAGGACTTGAGGCAGGTTCAGCAGATTTGTGGCACCATGAATGCATTCGCTGCGCTCCGAGCCGATGGCCATGTTATCTCCTGGGGCGGTGCCGACCTGCCTTTTCGGTTGGATGGAGTGGAGCAGGTGCAAGCCTCCGCCAGCGCTTTCACCTCGCTACAGAGCGATGGCACTGTGCGGACATGGGGAGACTTTTCCTACGGCAGAAGCCATGGGACCCTGAAGGGCGTTCAACAAATCGCGGCGTCAGCAAGCGCCTTTGCCGCAATTCGTGTGGATGGTACTGTGGTAGCCTGGGGTCATCCCTTTGGTGGTGGCAGCCTTCCACCGAGAGCACAGCAGCAGCTGCTCAATGTTTTCCAAACAACCGGAACACAAGCTCCCATGGATAACCCCGATGACGAAGATTATTGGTGACTACAACAAATCGCATAAAGCAGCCTTGCATGCTTCTTTGAAGTGCTTGTACAGTGTACAGTGCATCGCGGAGAGCACGTCTCCTTAGAGCGCGCGAGAGATGTCGCGACAGCAGTTCTCAATGTTACAGGACCTTTGACTAATACAAGAAGTCACTACTGCATTTTGTATTCAAGGGGGGGCCCGTTTAATTAAGAGAAGCACCCCAGGCACTTGGCAAGGCACAGGAAGCAGACTATGATAGTAATAGTAATAATAACAGTAGTAATAGCAATAATGATAGTAATAAAAAGTGCCAGGAGTTTGCCTTGGCAATCTCCATGCTAAACGTCAGCGCTGACGTAGTTGCTCAGTGGAAAACAGCTTCGCTTCCAGTTCCACATGGGTCTTTCTCAAAATTATGGGCCCCTTT